AGAGCGCATGAATACATACTTTTCGTCAGTGTTTACCGACGTGTGACAATTTTTCCACTTTGGACCGAGTTTTGGATGAATAGTTCAGTAATATTCAATGTACAGTTGAAGAAGTTGAAAGGCACTTAAAAACTTTGAACGTTTCTAATTCCCCAAGACCAGACAGTATTCAACCGCGAATCCTAAAAGCATGTGCTTCTCAACTAGCAACATCATTAGCAAATATGTTTAATAATTCCTTTTCCTCGGGTACGCTCCCACAAGACTGGAAATTGACCAACATCGCTCCAATACATTAAAAAGAATTAAAGGTCTATGAGGGAAAACTATCGGGAAGACTCCTTTACATCCGCAATATCTAAGATAGCAGAAAATATTGTCCAAGGTAGATCGATTTGTCGAACTTTGGCTTAGTCGGAGAATATTTAATCAAAATCGGTTTGGATACCTCCAGTGCGACAGCAGTTAAAACAAACAAAACAAAAAGAGATGCGACATTTGGGATTGGAATGGAAGGATACCAAGGAAGATGCGGAAGAATAGAAAAGTTCCGGTTCATCACATCACACATCATGCCATTGTACGTCCCAAGAAGAGGTCCACACCAATAAGAATCGTTTCTCATAGCCCAGCTTCGTTTAACGGCCCCTGTCTGAGCGACCAATGGCACAAGAGTCAAGATCTCCTCGGCAATTTATTGTGTTTTTTCCGAGAAAACTCAGTGGCAGTATTCGGGGAAAGATGTATCACATTGGTTGGAAACACGCCACCTGATTAATAGCACAGACTCTTTTGGCATGCAAATCTTCCGAACAGACCGCCAACGAGACACGAACTAATAGCCATTCACCTAAAAGTGCCTAATCAATGAACAGCAACGCATATGTCGACAACATCTGAGGCTCAGTTTGTTCGACGAAAGAAACGAATGCATTCCATGTTACGAAACAATTAAATGAAGAAATTTCCTGAAATGATCCTTGGAACTGTCCTTGGAACTGTATGGAACCCAGAGAAAGACAAATTTTCATTTAAAATCAAAGATCTGTTCACCAAAGAATCGCCAGCAGTAAAACCTACGGACGCGTCGGTGAAAATGAACAAAAAAGTCCAATTCTGAGCTGTCAACTGCACATATTTTAATTTCGAAAACGGAAACTGTCGAAAAATGTCGGACAATCTCGAAATTTTGCGTTGAAAACATGTACTACTTAATGTTGGAAAATCCACATTTCATGTAAATTAACTTGTTTTAAACGCTGAATTTAGGACTAAAAGGAACCGGTTTTGTTTGAGTAGATGCTTAGACAAAAACCATTACCAGCAGACAATTTAATAAAATACAAGAAAAAACATACTCCGAAGAATAACATCTTGTAAACTCAAGATATGAGCTATAACACAAGACAACAATTTTGCGGTGATATTTCGACTCTATTTCAAAGTCATTGTCAAACCAGAATAAGCTATTTACAAATTTGCTATCATATTATATACAAAGAAACAGGAAGAGATGACGTATTAGAAACATTACACTATTGAAATACAATGATACTGAATTAAGAAAAGACCACGAGTTCTTTAGACGCTCTTAATCCGCTCTTAAAACAGAATGATTTTACTTGTCCTGGTTGCAACAGTTTCTACATAGGCAAAACAGAAAGAAATTTGGCTACTCGATTATCGGAACACTCAGATCCACAAAAAAGTTCGATTTCAAAACATCTGTCGGAATGTGAACATGCTAATTTCATCCTTAATTTGAACCACATGTTTGACAACCTTAATGACATAAATGACAGTGATACAGTCAAACTAGACACACCACTCTCTTTTCACAATCTCATCCAGACTAACACTCAAACTCTTCACACTCTTAAGCACACAAATTCCAACCTTCTCCTATTCCTTGAAGCTCTGTATATTAAATACAGAAAGCCCGTGCTTAATAACGGATTAAGAGCGTCTAAAGAACTCGTGGTCTTTTCTTAATTCAGTATCATTGTATGTCAATAGTGTAATGTTTCTAATACGTCATCTCTTCCTGTTTCTTTGTATATAATATGATAGCAAGTTTGTAAATAGCTTATTCTGGTTTGACAATGACTTTGAAATAGAGTCGAAATATCACCGCAAAATTGTTGTCTTGTGTTATAGCTCATATCTTGAGTTTACAAGATGTTATTCTTCGGAGTATGTTTTTTCTTGTGCTTAGACAAGCTTAGTGTAAATTAAAGATTCAATTATCTTACTAATACCAAGCGAGCGTTTACACTTCATTTTATTTTACTTTAAGCAAACATTCATTGTATTTTTTAATTTCAGATTGCATAATAAATATCGATCCTTCAGGGTTTATATTTAGTTTGTACTCATTTATCGCTGCATATATACTTACTAGATTTGTCCTGAGCATCTCTTTTGCACGGTCACAATTCGACCTCAAACCTATGATGTCAAAAATCACATGTTTTTCTGTTCCACTGAATTTTGGCCAGGTAATTTTTACGCCACACTGAGTCTCTATATTTCGGAAATTATCACTCCCTTGTTTTCGTATCAGTAAACGAACAAATTCCTGAGGAACTGGTTCCTTTATGTTAACCGTTGCGTAATTATCCTGTAACAACAACAATATATAAGAGGTATGTATTTTCCGTGTTGATTTACAGTTATATCAACACGAGTGGAAATTGGGAAAACGAAAAATTGTGTAAAAACACGACGTCCGGAGGACGGAGTCACAGAATAAGTCATACAAAAGGCCGACCACGGTGGGCACAAAAGACAGCAAATTCGGCCACGTACAAATAACTTTCAGTCGTTATTTTGGAATATCACGAAATTTCCTCACAGGATAGAACTTGAAACCATTCCTAAAAATCCTATTGTTTTTGTTTTTAGATTTTGTTACATTTTTGCGGGAAAATGACGTGTCAACTTTGGCGCCAAAAAATTAAACACGAGCTAAGAACATGCTAGGAACTGTTTTGAAGAGACTGTCCTATAAGGATCTCAAAACTGTAACAACATTAAAAATACAACAAGGCAGTACGAAGATATAGCGATTCAAAGTTCGAAAAAAATCTATTTTTAGTAACAAAATGTCGGATTTTTCGGATTTTTAAGCACCATATCTTTGCACTGCTTTGGCGTATTTTCAATGTTTTTACAGTTCTGAGATCCTTAATAAATTATAGGACAATCTCTTCAAAAAAGTTCTTAGCATGTTCCTAGCTCGTGTTTAATTTTTTGGCGCCAAAGTTGGCACGTCATTTTCCCGCCAAAATGTAACAAAATAAAAAAAAAATAGGTACGCAGTGCGTACATGTTGCATGCCCTCTCTCTTCTGCAGAGGCTTTAGTTGCCTTTTCCGCCGCGCTCCTTCGCCCAGTGGCTCCGCCCATGTTCCGCGATCCGCTATGTAAAGTGTAGTGAAATGTATCTTATCGTGATAAATCATAGGACAACTAAAGCACAGAATAGAGAATGGCAGTGCCTTTTTTAAGGAATTTTCACTGGGGGGGGGGGGGAAAAAAGGCAGAACGAAAAATATGAGCCATCGAGGTTTGGCGAACGCGCGAGTCTGAAGAGTGATTTTGTAAAACTTTAATTTATTAACTTCACCTATATAAACAATAACTTCAACTCTTTGTAGCTATAATCGTACAGCTATAACCAGTGGCGTAGCCAGACCTTAATTTTTTGGGGGGCGAACCTCACGCCGAAAGCGTGAGACCGTCTAGGAGGGTCCGGGGGCATGCACTTCTGGGAAAATTTTGAAATCTAGGGTCCCTGAATTGCGATTTCAAGCATTTTGGGAGTGAAATTCCGAAGAGTTCCGAAGATTATAAAGTACATCGAAGACATGAATTTTTCCAGACATTTGTACTCGGAATTAAATAAATTGGAAAAGTCACCTTGAAAATAGGAGGAGGGGTCAGTGTCACCTTATTTCCTCTCTGTGATCCGGCCGGGGGGGGGGGCATCCCAATGTGATTTTGATCAGATATGTTGCATTTAAATCATTTTAGGTTCTATGAGACACCATTTCCGCATTCTCAAAATTGCGTTGCTTTTTCATACGATACAGAATAAATCTGAGAAGAAATATTCATGCTATGATGATGCATACATGTATTTAACAGTTAAAAATCTAAACTAAATCTATTCTTCTTGGAACCAGCATTTTATCGGATTGTTTGCATGAAATCTATCACTATTATGAAATACTCGGTGAAGAACAATATGAATTACACACAAGATGGCTGTGGAGGAGGCTATGGAAGGGCATAATCTCATTATCAAGTAAATCAACTGCAATTCTGACAGCAATCATGAGCAATTCTGCTTCGCACTTCGGGGGCAGAAATGGCTTTACTGGGGGGGAGGATTCTTTCCCTGGGGGGGGGCATTTGCCCCCCCCCCCCAGATATATAGTTAAAAAAGGCACTGGAGAATGGACCAGAAGTGTCACTCGACAAGTGCTGATGTGAAAAGACGCCATCCTGGAGTACACCACAGAAGTTTTTCATGGGTACAAACATAGGTACAAAGTGCCGTGTGCACTCCAGGATGGCGTCATAGCACATAAAAAATTTCGGACGTTTTTTCCAAGCCAAAACACATTACACATAGGAGTGTCCCTTCTGGTCTAGTATCTATTCTGTGACTAAAGCCTTCAGGGGCCAGTTGTATCAAGCCTGTTTAGCTTAAACGGTGGTTAAGCTGCAAATAGAAAGCAAGTCTATAGATCCATTCAACAACCAAACTAAAAGTTTTGAACCTTAATAGAATGATATTGTTTGTAACTACATATTCAGTGCAGAATATTTAAGCTAACTGATTCACGAGAGATATAAGAGTGTTATTTAATTAATTTGACTTATCCACCGTTTAAGCTAAACGTGCTTGATACAACCGGCCCCAGGCCGATTTCCATTCAGTGCAAAATATCGCAAGATCAACTTTTTGGGATAACTTTCTTTTGAAACACGTTCAGTCAACCTGATCCGTTGTGTTTGATTGCTTGTATTTCAGAAAGTGATTGCAAAATGTCGATCGCACGACATTTTGCACTGAGTGGAAATCCACCTTTATGGTGCGCAAGCGCTTATAAATTTTGGTACAACTGGCCTGAAACTTAACATATTGATTCAATAAATTTAACATCAATATATTTATTGAAACTGAATAGCTATTATGTCAAAATAACAAAACTTTTTCAAACTTTTCGCGACTGTTCATCTGTAGTTGCAAGGGACGGTAATATCAAGGTCAACAGGTCAAGGTTTTATCACTGATTGACTATTCGAAGTAAACAATGCTTATATTTTCCTTCAAATTTAGCTTTACTCCGGCTTACTGAAAGTATAAAAAACCGTGGAAAGCGTGAATTACTATAATGATTGAAAATAATTATTAATCTATGATCTCGACTATGATTGAAATTATCGAAGTAGAATGCTATTTCGTTGTATTAAATTTCAGTATACAATATATTAAAGTTCATATTAATATTTACAGAATGTGATGTAGTTTTGAAATTTGAAGTTTTACACACAATATAATCAGTGCTAGCACAATGGCTTCGTTTCAATTTGGGCATATAAAAAATTAAAATTCTGACAGCGTGGCCCTTCACAAACATAAACGCCTGATAATGCCGATAATTGATAAATAAATATCAGTGCCAGCACAACGGCACCAAAATAATAACAAATAACAGAATATAAGCTAAATTAAAAACAACAAAGCTTTACCTACCTCGATCTATTTTTCTATTAAAGGCCTTAAATTCCGTAAAGAATATTTTCTTTGCGTTTCCTCGACGAAAGCCGTGAACAAAAGCGTGCATATTAAAGTTTCACTCATCACATGAAAATGCTCGTCGTACTGACTCGGTATTTGTCGTATTTTACGAATCTGTCACGTGATTTACCACCGCCCGTACGTACA